GGGTTTTGCACCATCTGCTTCCTTAGGTGTGGCAGGAGACTAACACTATTTTCCTAAATGCATTTCCAAAATTAAACACTTTCTCTCTTGGGGGGTTTCTCTCCACAAAGGAATCTTTATTGAAATGGTTGCCTTTGTCATTCTTAACTAGCAGGGCATTCCTTCACATCACTATCATTGATGTCATCGATGATGTCATGAAGCAGGGAGCATGGCAGCCTTGAGACTCCATCCCCAGGATCTCTTTAATGCCTCCCAAGAAAGAGTTCTCTAACTAAAGATGGGTGCTGCATCCGTTGGCAATGTTGACATTATCAAAAATGCTATTTCTACTGTGTTTAATGTTTTCCTGCTTCTTTTTGTCTCTGTCCGGTTCCTTGAGGACTTGGATGATGAAGGGAGAGACAGAAAGTGTCACCTTAATGTGAACTTGTCTGTTCTGAATGGTCCACTGTCATCCTTAGACTGCTCCAGTCACTGGTTGCCAAGGCAATGCCATCACCCAACCCATCACCCGGGGTCTAAGGGCAGATATGGTGCTGACTTCCCTGTTGGTGCACCTCAGGTATAGTACAATCTTGCTAGGGTCTAACTAGAGGTGCTTGGTGGATGTAGTTTGGTCAGATGAACCTGGAAATGAGAAGACCAAGGGGAATTACACCTTGGCTTCACCAAGCCAAAAGCAGAAAGTTGCCCCAAATATTTTTATACAGTTTTCTTGTCCTCTTTGTTGCATTTACATTTAATATGTTGTCTAAGTCCCAGCCAAGCCTGTGAGCAGATCACAGTGGTGTTATTCCCATTTTACAGATGAGAACCAGACCCTGCACAGTAGAACATCTTTCAAGGTCTTGATTATCTGGATATTGGGGGCTGGCATCCCAGACTGTTGTCACTTAACACTACACTGCCCACCACTTCCCTGGGTAGAATGAATGTAAGCCACAAAACAAGCCTGAAACCAACCAAAGGAAGCAAAAAAAAAAATTATGAATGGATTGTGAAATGTGAGTTCATTGAGAAAAGCAACTGTTCAGACATGCACCAGTGAGGACACATAGAACATGAAGTCACCCGGAGCCTCAGACACTCCCCAACTCATCAGTGCCGAAAGAGGAGTTGGGGATCAGCTCATGAGACCCCTCTAGCTTGTAGATGAGACGAAGAGAGCCAGGCGAAGTCACTGGGTAGTCGAGGTCACTCCAGAACTCAGCTCATCTGTTTCCAAAAACTCTCTCCTCTGAACTTTTCCCTCTCTTTCCACAAGAAGGACATGACCCCCTCACAGAGTGGAGGCTCCAGCATTTCACTATGAGCCAGGAGAGTTGGCCCTCAGCCATGGACACAGGCAGAGTAACCAAACACCCAGCCAAGGAACTTCAGAGTAACCAGTGAAGCATTCTGTGAAATTGTCTCTTCAGTGAGCTGCCTCAGGGCCCGAGGTAACGCCATTGGGTACCTAGTAACTTGAGTATGACATGCAGGACTCCAGTACAGATGTGAAAATGCCATATAGGATTGTTGATACCCAGAGAAAATTGTAGCCATGATACCCTGGTGTAACTTAATCAAATGTCTATCGGCAGAGGGCAAGGTTCTGAAAAGACAGACCAGGCTACAAATGTGTCTTGACAGAAAGAAAGGGTTCCTGGCTGAACATGGAGCTCTGGCTAAGGAAAGCTGAGTCTAAGCTCTGACTCCTCCATCTGGAGACCAGCCCTGAATACTTGGGATCAAGAGGAAGGGAAAAGTGACAAAGACATATGGATAGAGAAACCTACTGGACCAAATAGTCAAAAAAAAAAAAAAAACACATGCAAACTGGTTATCTTCATCTATTTTGTACGGCTGTAACAGAATGCCTGAGACT